CTCTTCTTGGTATTTGTTTAAGTACCAAGGCTTCTTTGCCTTTATGCGTAATTGATTCTTCTCTTGATAACTTACATATAATGTCCTAGACATTCCTTCTTGTGAATCGTATATGGACTTCTCTTGGGCATTTGTGACATCTTGCATAATTTGTACTAACTCTGTACACTCCATCAAACTCTCTCAAGATGTCATCTTTGTCCTTTTCCAATAGTTCCACCAATATTTCTGCCATTACTTGTTACAGGTCTTCTTCTTTTGATTCCGCTATATTCTGGAATCTAAGTATGTAGCAGTTTCGTCCATCTCTAAGTAGATCAAGAAGTCCTCCATTTCCTTGCTCATGTTCTTTAGTTGTTCATCTACCCTTTCCAGTTCTCTTTTGGTCCGTTCTGTTCTTTTCTCTACCTCCTTTATTGTTGCTTCATTTTTCTCCAAAGCTTGCTGTATTATTCCAACTTTCTCTTCTACTTTGGAAATATCTGCCTTCATTTCTGCTTTTTGTTTCCCCATCTCTTCTTTTAGTCCATTTATATCTGCTCTTGTCTCATTGTGGTTTTTCATCATTGTTTCTTGCAGCTTCGACATCGATTCTTGTAGAGTAAGCAGAATCACTTCGATATTAATATTCAAGGAGGTGGTTTGTTTCTCCAATGGTATTGTCTCTTATATTGTCTTTTGTGCCATGGGCGAGGGTGTTGCTGACATAGTTGTTAGCGTCAAGGCAGCCTTTCTTCCGGTTTTCAGAGTTGTAGCTGTAGTTGTTGTAGATCTCATTTCTTTTAAAATTTGTTTTTGTTGTTGTAGTATGTTGGTTATGTTGTTCCAAATTAACATTCAATGGTAACAGTCAATAGCGTATATTAAAATTGATCTATAATTCAATTAATTAATTAATCTATCCCTCTCTTCAATATCTAAGCTCTGTATATATTTAGCAGGGTGATGTTTCTTATAAGCAGTAATATTAACCCAGTATACTTTCAAATCTGAATTCTAAATCACATATATAATTTATATATAACCTAACCTTTATTATTGCTACTAAACCTCTATACATAGGTTCAAAATACTCCTAATAAACAATATTTAATCTTATCACTCTAATCTAAATCTTGTTTTCTATAACTAAATATATATATATAATCTAAGATGCTATTTTTGTAAAATGTTTCCTCTAAATGACTACATATCAAACCCTTTTATTTTTCCAATATTCTTGATCATATCCAACCCTATAATAGCCAAACAGTAAATCAATTAGATATTCAAGATGTTCTGCCCAGTAAATGTAACTATTAATATATAAACATTAATTATAATCAGTGACTAAATAGTACTTAAAGTTATTCTTATTTCCTTTATCTTTTCTATTTATATAACTGGTAAAAATATAATTATCAATATTACTAATAAATCAATTAAGTCAAACAAATAGCATCACAATTGCAGTAAACAATTTCCCTCTGCTTGGAAATATATACTTGAATAATACTATATAGAAATAAAAAAAAAATGAGAGAGAGAAGCATTGACTAATCAGAACACCAGAAAGAGATAGAAAAAGTAGAAAGAGAGAGAAAAGAAAAAGACTCTTAAAGTAGATGTTCCACTTTCAGTCAGTGGAATTACACGTTTGCAATCCGGATACCTGGCTGTAAAAAATTGCTGAGTAATAACGATGTCCTCTCAAAGTCTCCACTCACTCCATTATCTCCGGTTCTCTTTTCGTCTTTTCTTGGGGATCTTAAATTCAGATCTCCTATATTTCTATATTTCTTCAGTTAAGGCAAGCTATTCAGTTGGACCGATACACCCTCGGATCAGCAGTCAAAAACTTTTTCAGAGCTTCCAAAAAGTGTCTCCTTTTACACCGCGCTATCTCCGTTCTTCTTCTCGTCTCAAATCTAATGCAGTCTTTCCCACAGAAAGTGATTCAAGTCCCCCAGACCTTCCAGCGGCTAGAATCCCTTTGACTAATAACAATGTAGCAAGTCACAGAGCAACCTCCCAGTCTTCTTTGCTTCTTTTGTTACTGTCCTTATTTTCTATCTGTCCAGCCCTTTCACTTTCACCCGCCTCACCTCCGTTCTTTAGCCGCGCGCGTCCTTTTAGGGCTCCGATCAGATTCTTTCAACAATTTGCTGTGGATCCACGGCGTTCGGAAAGAATTTCCTCACTCGCACCTTTCACCGTTGGTCACTACAATCTGTCTCTCACTTGTTTCCTTTCGTCAGTGGCAGACCGGACTTGGGGACCGCCATTAACAAAATGGCAGTCTCTTGCTCGTTGGGCTCTGAGGGGGTTTCTCTTCGCTGCAACGGGAGTTGCCTTCCCCTCACTACAGCTCGAGTTTTCCCACACCGGCACGTCTCTCTCCGGGATTTGTGCACCCCGAGGGATCGCACCAACAGCAAGAGGCAAGAAGAATCACGAGCAGACCTCTATACCTCTGTTCGTCCCCGCCTCACCACCGGAAGCTGGAAGAATAGAATTCTTTCGAGAGAATCAACTTGGCAAATTTAAGACTCGTGGACTTCAACTCCCAGAATTCCTGAGCTAACAGGACTGGAGGAGGAATTCTGGGAGTTGAAGTCCACAAGTCTTAAAGCTGACAAGTTTGAAGGCCCCTGGGTTACATAGTCTCAGGAACTCCTTCAAATTTATGAAGGTAAAATTCTAGAGTGCTAATCACAGACTCATAAAAGCAGAACTTTATTTAAAAATGCACACATCCTTTTTAAAATTAGCAAGTGTTTAATATTAAAATGTATCTGTCACATTGCCCTCTCTGGAACATTAAATCTCCTGAGTTATTAAATTGATTAAATTGATCAGAACTCTTTCACTTTTGGTTCAGATGGATCCTTTGGATGCTTTCTAAAGAATAATTAAATTTAATGTATCCTTGTCAGTACTGCTTACCTACCATGGCTGCAGCCTTGGAGCCCCCAACCTCTCCTTGACTTCCTTGCTTCTCCTCCTCGATCTGGATGAATAGGCAGCATTCAAAACATGAGCCAGAATTTTAATGATACTGTAAAAATAGGGGGCATTTGGGATCTGGATCCTGTTCCATTTATCTTGAGTCTTCAGTGATACTTTCTGGGTGCATCTTCTCCGGCCTTTGATTTAAAAAAAGTGCTTTGAAAAAGAACACTGAAAATACTGACCTTGAAACTCAGGTCCCAAATAAGGTTCAAAGGCATCATCTTTTGGCCTTTTTGAATATCTGATTATCAAACATCCAAATGCTATGGACATATTTGTAAAGTCTGTGCCTTCCTATTATCAAATGACCCAAGCTGACATGATCCAGACTTTCCCTTCAATGGGTCCTGGCAAATGCATAAGTGATAAATGGAAAGGAAGAATTATTTACCTAAAAGGAACATTTTCTATGAGTGGTGCTATATGTCCAGACACTGAGAATTGTTTTGATATAACAACATAAATTCCATTCCTGACATGCATAGAAATCAAAGTCCTCATGAAGTTGGCGTATGTCCCAGCCATTAGTTATATCTGTAACCAAATTTGTAATACAGGCCTAGATATAACCCAGTCCCAAATTAAGTAGTATTTCACATACTACAAGCAGCTACTTTAATGTTGGAAAGTCAGTGGTGTCACTCTGTCATATGTTCCAATTCTTTTTTGGGAGCAAGTGTAAAGCAATCTGCAAGCCCCCTAAAGAGAGTTGCTAGGTAGTTTCTAACGAATTCATTTCTATCTTCAGTGTCACACAGTAGACCAGACCAGGAAATCAAACTCCACAGGAAGACTAGAATAATACTTTATTGCAATGAGCTATAATAACAAAATCTTGCCAGCCTGATTCCTCTTTATGTTCTCTCCACTAAGGAGGAGTTTGGTATGAGTCATTTCCAAATATTATCTTGTTTCCCTGGACATAAAGAAGGTTCTAGCCCTCTTTGCTTATACAATGGTTCTTGCATAACTGCCAAGGTCATCTTCTCTTCTCTCTACAGTAGGGGTACCCCCCCCACCCCCGATCCATGGACTGGTTCCAGCCCACAGCATGCCAGAAACTGGGCTGCTCAAACAAGGATGCAGGTCCCTGGTGCCCAAAAGGTTGGGAAGTGGGTGGGGGCACTGTTCTACAGATATCAATAATCAGCTTTAGTTTTTGGAAAATTTGCTAGCAAGAGCACTGAGGAATCCATTTCTAAGGATGGACCATCTTAGGATCTCTCCCTCACAAGGGAGAGATGATGCAATGAGAGAAGATTCCTTCAACTGTGATTGAACCGCAGTGATGAAATAACACTATTTGCAATGAGGCAAATAGTATTCAGTGTATCCAGTGAAGGCCAACTTAGGTCATTCTGGGATATTTCAGTTGCCTATACATGTCCTGTATTTCATATGTTACCTGGGGATTTCTTCAATTTGGTGCCCTCCAATAAGTTTTTTTTAGTATTGCTCTTTATACTGACTGAATCCAACATATCTGGAGGCACCATCTTGAGGATGGCTTATTCAGATTTTGACTTTTATTACAGCCATCCCCAGTCCTATGTCAAACTTTCCCAATGGCCAAGATAACTAGAGGTTACAGGAGTTCACCTTAAAGACACCTACTTATAGGGTGCAAGGTAGAAAAACACTGAACCTACTTCTCAATTCAGAGTTTTCTGAACGAAACTTTTCTTTGCCTTCCCTGAGCAGTTGTTGTTGCCTCCCACTTGTGAAGTACTTGTATGGCTTTCTGCCCAGTGAGGTCAAAACATAGCGGTTGTGAGAATTATATATCCTCCTGTCTCAGCTCGGTGCAAAACTTCCCAATCTTGTGTGACTATGAATTGGGGCGGTATAACGTACTTAGAAATTCTCTCCCTCACAAGGGAGAGATGATGAGATGGGCAGTGAATTTTGGGCTAGGCAGTAAATCCCGTCCCTCAGCCCGTTCATTCGCCTCCTCTGAAACGCTTATCAGTTTCTCAAGATTTCCTTCCTCTTTTCTCCTCCCACACCCGCCTCTTCTCTACTAGCCACTGCCTTTCCCCAAATTTTGGATCGCCACCACCGCCTGCATGTGTCAGAACTAGGATAGTGGGGAAACGAGGAATCCGCTCGTCAGGAAAGGAACGCCTCTCCTCTCCTTCGCTCCCGCCTTCGTGTTCAGTCGGTACGCCTCAAGCGGCCTTTCTTGATCGGTTGAAGAGAAAGCAACTGACGGTGAACGCTGTTCGGCCTCTTTAGGGAAGAGTGTCAGGCTCAGAGGAACGAAGAGTCTCGGATAAGCAGGACCTCGATGGAAAAGGAGCGAATGGCGGGGTTTCGGGTCGCCTTCCCTCCCACTCCCCCACCCCCTCTCCGAGAGAGAGGGGGTCTTTAAGAAGCGCTCGGTAGGCAAATTCCACAGGGGAAGTTAATGCCCCTCTTGGCATCGCTCATCACGGTATCCTTTTGTTTGTTGGACCGGAAAACATCTTCTGCACCCTCAGAGGATTAGGGGCAGGTTGAAATCCGAAATCGGTGGGCGTCAGAACTGGTAGAAAAGAAAGGCGTACTTTCTGGTGCTATTTCCTGTGACTGAGGTTAGTGGGCAAAAGTCGAATTGGTTAGTTTTACGAGTCACGCAAACGGCTCGACATGGATTAAATCAATCCGATAATTGTGTGCGGTGCAGATTTGTCAGGAGAATAATCTTATACCCATTTAATTCAGAAATAACCTGAGTTCTTCCTTGAGGTAAATGGGTATTGAGAAGGACTCAATAGCTGGACAAAAATGCCAAGATAGACATCACTGATTTAGGGAAACTGAAACCTGCAGGAAAATAAGAAACTCTGTCACTGAGTTATAGTTCCTCTGAACCAGAGGTTTCCAAACTTGGCAACTTTCAGACTTGTGGACTTCAGTTCCCAGAATTTTCTGTGCCAGCTATGCTGGCAGGAGAATTCTGGGAGTTGAAGTCCTCAAGTCTGAAAGTTGCCAAGTTTGGGGACCTCTGCTCTGAACATTGAATAATGCAGGGCCATGAGGAATCAGGAAGTGTGTTAGAATATGACCGCGCAGGGTTAGCTTACTAAAAATGTAGTATTTGGCTTCAGATGTGGAAATTGTTCCATGTCTAGCAGAGTTGGGCTATGAAATGAAATATATCAATATATCAATATCAGGTTAACTTTAAGGAGTAGATTCCATAAAGACAGGTACAATACAAATTGTACATTGCAGAGACAGGTACAATACAAATACAGTTGCTTTGGCAATCACAATTTTGATTGGCAACTCAGTCACTCTGTGAAGCAGTCATTAAGTGAAATTGTGATTGCTTATAGTCCGGCTTCAGTTTTCTTTTGTTCTATAGGTTTGCAAAGGTTGTAAATGCAAGGATTGGTTATAAAATTATTCTTTCATCACCATAGTAACTGGGAAAAGTCCCTAGAGGAGGTCACCATTAAATGACTTCCTGTAGCAAGTTGGCAGGAATCTAAAATGGTTGCTTCATAATTCTAGGAGACAGGAGATGTTGGATGAATCCTGTTTTTATGCTTTATTTCAGAGGTCCCCAAACTTGGCAACTTTAAGACTTGTAGACTTCAACTCCCAGAATTCTCTAGCCAGCATAGTCTTAAAGTTGCCAAGTTTGGGGACCCCTGCTTTATTTATGTAGTACTGCCCAAAATGTTAGGCAGTTGTGCAAAAATGCTGTAAATTAAGAATGCTTCCAAAAATAGGTTTAAATGGAAAGTAAATGAACAGAAGAGAAATCCAAATCAAATTAAATATTTGGTCTAACCATCCTCTCTTTTCTTCAACAGAGCATCAGTGCTTCTAGGTATACTTGCACATAGTTTTCGAAGGAACTCAGCAAGGTTCCTTCAAGGTTGTTCCAAACACTTTGGAGAACTAATCATAGATCTTCTGTGGATGCAAGGCTGCCTCAGATCCTTCCGTCTCTTCATGTAATACCAAACAGACTCAATGATGTTGAAACGGGGGCCAAACCATCACTTCCAGGATTTCTTGTTCTTCTTTATGAAGAACTGAAGATAGTTCTTAATGACATTGCCTGTGTGTTTGGGGTCATTGTCCTCCTGCAGAATAAATTTGGGGACAATCATACCTGATGGTATAGCAATGATGATAAATATCTGCCTGTATTTCTCAGCATTGAGATCATCATTGATCTGGAGCAAATCTCCAATTCCATTTGCAGAAATGCAACCAAACTTGCAAGGAACCTCCACCGTGCTTCACTGTTGCCAGCAGACACTTATTATTGTACTGATCTCCAGCCCTTTGGCAAACAAACTACCTCCTGCTACAGCCAAATATTTCAAATTTTGACACATCCATCCAGGGCACCTGCTGCCATTTTTCTGCACTCCAGTTCCTATGTTTTCATGCATAGCCTTGATTCCATGTTGGAGGTATGGCTTTTTGGCCATAATTTTTTCATGAGGACCACTTCTGACCACAGTAGATGTGTCATGCCCCTGGTGGAGACTGACTGTGAGGGAGAGGAGGAACAGCCAACAGGGAATGGAGGTGTGGCTCCAGAGGTTGTAGAGGAGGCTGGGAAAGGGCAGAGGCTGGCTGAGCAATCAGAGGAGGACCCAGGCTCATCCCCTCTCCATCCTAGGGCACACAGGGAGGAGAGAATAAGGAAGAGACATGGTCTGCTTGGGAGGAGAGGGCTTTGATCCTCTTAATGGGCTGCAGCTGTGACAACTGAATAAGAAGTTGGCCATGAGTATGAGTGAACGCTGGGAACAAAGCGTGGAAATATCTCTAGTTTATGGTTCCTCTCTGAGTTTGGTGTCCTTCCCAGTGTTAGTTCTGTTATCCCCAGCCCTTATCTTGCCTGGTTTGTGTTGCTTTTTTCCTTCTTCTTGTAATGGTTTGTATGGGAGTTTTTTGTCTTCCGTCAAGGATATTCGGAGCTTGGAAGCAAAGGGAAGGAATAAAAGGGGTTTCATCTGTTTTCTGTGGCTGTGTTTGTTTTGTATCCCACCCTGGGTCATCACAACATGGGTGTATCTGGTTTCTGCCATTTCTGTACTTATGGCACTGTTGGACATCTTCCGATGTTGAAGAGAAGTAAGCACGGTGTGTCTTTCATCTGCTGCATTAAGTTTCTTTGGCTGATCACTGCATTTACTGTCTTCAACATTGCCCGTCTCTTTGTGCTTCTTTAAAAGAGCTTGAGTAGCACATCTTGAAACCCTGGTCTGCTTTGAAATCTTTGCCTTGCTGAGGCAATATAAATACCTTTTGTCTTACTCCTGTGCTCAGTTTTGCCATGATATGTATGACCTGTGACATGAAACTGTCTTCTACAACCTCACCTTAGTAGCAGAGTTTGGTTGTTGCTCACTCAGTTTTAAGCCTCCTGCACAGCTGTTTCTATTTCAATTTATGACTGTGTTTCAACCTACATATGAAATTGGTGATCATTAGGCCCTGCTTGGTATAACTGGTTAATCATACTACCTGCCTTTAATCCAACAAAATCCTTGATTTTGTGCAAGTATAAGAATTGATGCTGTTTTGAAGACAAAGGGTGATCACATTAAATACTGTTCATTTGCTTTCCATTTTGTTAAAATAAACACTTCTATTTCTGGAAACATTCTTAATTTTCAGCATTTTTGAACAACTGCCTTAACACTTTTGCACAGTACTGTATTTGTATTTTTATGGTTTGTTTCCTCCCATCCCAAGCTGAGTGACATTGGTGATTGTTCTTAGCATAACAATGTCATAATGCTACTCTTCATCTTCCAAAATCTAATTTAGACTGAAGTCATAAACTTTTTGGCAATAAGGCCTATTGAACATAGTGAATGTTTGTTCAGTATTCTCTTTGTAATAATGGTCAGTCAGATGCTTCTAAGAATTTCTCCTCTGGATAGGAATAGTTCTTTCATTCATTCAAACTGTTGATATCTCCATAACTGTGTAAATGTTTATGTTATACAGTAATAGGAATATCTGGAAATTTAATATAATCCTCTTTCTTGACAACTGAAAGAAGCCTGCAGAAAAACCATGGCAACAGAATTAAATACTGCAGTGAAAAATGGTGATCTTATGCTTGTTCGACAGCTGTTGGAAGATGGAGCAGATATTAATGCAAAGGTGGAATATGGCTGGACACCTCTCCATAGTGCTGTACAAATAAATTCCAAAAAGATTGTTAAGTTTCTGCTGGAAAAAGGGGCTGATCCATTAGCAAGGAAGGATAATGGTGCTACACCTTTTATTTTAGCAGGGCTGACGGGTAATGTGAAGCTTTTGAAACTTTTTCTTGATAAAGGCTCATCTATTAATGAGTGTGACATCAATGGCTTCACTGCATTCATGGAGGCTGCTTGTGAAGGGAAAGAGAAAGCCCTGAGATTTTTATATAAGAGGGGGGCAGATGTAAATCAGCGCCGTGAAGTGGATGAGAATAAAAAGGCTGTAAAAAAAGGAGGTGCAACAGCTCTGATGGATGCTGCCAAGCATGGCCATTTTGCTCTGGTCAAAATCTTGATTAAGAAAATGGGTGCTGATATAAATATCTGTGACAATCGAGATGGAAATGCATTGATTCATGCTCTCTCTGAGGAGGAAAACTGGAATAAAAGCAGACAAAAATTGGCCCTTTTCCTTTTGAAAAACAACATTGATGCCAAAAAGAGGGACGTAAAGGGGAAAACGGTGCTTATATTGGCTGTTGAAAGAGAAAGCTTGGCCCTTGTGAAGGCCATATTAAAATTAGATGAGGTTGATCTTGACGATGCTGATGAAAACAACGAAACAGCATTGCATGTAGCAGTGAAGAAGAAAAATATAGCAATAGCAAAGCTACTATGTGAAAAAAGAGCAAGAGTAGATAATGATGTCTTGGATATTGCCCGTAGAACTTACCAAGACAAGATGATAAAACTTCTTCAGAAATACAAATCACCGGACAGTCCAAGGCAGCCAGAAGAAATTCTCAGAAGGAATTGTCAGGAATTCTCTAGCAATCGCTGGAAATCAAAACTCCAGAAACTCAGTCAAATGCATCGTCCTATGATTGGCAAGCTCAAGATCTTTGAATATCAAGATTTATGGATCCAGAAGACCACCCAAGGTGGGGTCTACCTGGGATTCTATGCTGGAGAAGAGGTGGCTGTGAAGGTACTCTGGAAGGGTTCAGAAAATGCCCAAAGAGAAAAAATGTGCCTTGAAAAATGCCGAAACAGCAAATACCTGGTGAAATTTCGTGGCTCAGAAGAGAGGAAAGCCATTCTTTACCTGTGCCTCACCTTGTGTGAAAAGAATCTTCAAGAGTATTTCAAGGAAGAAAATAGCACAGCTATGGAAAGCAAAAAGATTCTTAAAAAAATATTTCAGGCTGTAAAGGAACTGCATGCATTTGGATTTGGCCATCAGGAACTGCACCCAAGTAACATTTTGATAGGTTGGTGTTTTCTTTGGCAGTCTGCCCATTTATTCCAGTGTAATCCATTTAAACTTTATGGGCTATATATGGAACAGCAGATTCACAATATTTTGTTGCCTAGAGTGTTTTGTTGTTTTCAGCCTTCCCTATATAATGTTACAAAGCCCCAGTTTGGCATTTTAGCAAACCATTAACAATTACATCATCATAAGTGTCAAAACTGCTTATCATTTAAAAAGGACCAGAATCACCCCAAGGTAGTTTTGTCTGGTCATCTGTACCATAATGTACTGACAAGGCTTACTGAGACACTAACAAATACACCTTAGTTCCAAAACCCATTTTTCTTTATTTCAATGGCTGTGAATTATAGTCATTCACAGCCCGTAATGAGTCTCAAATAGTATGTAAATAGTCCCATGGAAGTCTGCCAAAGTCCTTCAGGATAGGTCTGAGAAACACTCATCTATATCTTCCTTGAAATGCTGACACTGTGAGTTTGTCATCCCTGTAATAAAAAATAAAAATGAAAGGGTAAAAACTTAAACTGGGGTTATTTTTTCATCGTAGTTGATGAAAACAAAACATCTTCATTAATTCTATGTGAAATCGAATTGGTTCACTGCAGGTGGGAATGTTCCTTTCAGTGCAAGAATATTTCTCCCATCCCTTCTGCAAAATCTGGACCATCCCACCCCATCCATCAAAATCTGGGCCCTCAGAATAAGATTGAAGGGCCTGGAGAGAAAGAAAGTTAAAATTGTATTGTGTGAGCCAAACTGATTCCTGGATAAATGTATAATTTAAAAGTAGCTTGTTTATTAAAAAACTGTTTATATTAAATTGTCTAGGCTAATATTATAAGGTGCCCAAAGTTATTGTGTGGCAAGATGGGCAGCTAATAAATTTTACAAATAAATAAGTAAAAATAAACCTACATTTAATCAAAAGCAAATATAAAAATTAACAAGCTTCTCTTGTGTCATAGGCAATGGACAAAGCCCAAGGATAATACATTCTCATAACATTGAAATAATGATTTAATACTCCAAGTAAATCAACTCACTTATGCATTAGGGTGAATTAAGTAAGACAGTATTTCCCAAAACAGATCACTTGCCTTATGCAAAATAAATGTTTTGCCTTATGCAAAATAAATGTGTTTTGCTGATAGGTCTGTTCTCAAAAGATAGTGGTAAAATTGTTGCCATTACTTCAATTCACTTTTTAATGAATTTATACTTTATCTCTATCAATTTTTTTTTTACTTTGTTAGATGTCACTGGCAAGATTTTCCTAGCAGACTTTGATAAGAGCAGAGAAATAACTGATGATACAAAACATTCTGTAATCTCAGAAGATCTACAGGTAAATGATTATCTTTATCTGTCTCCAATCTTCTACATTCCACAGAATGTTAAATGTAATTATAATCTCCAAAGAACAAGACAAAAATGCCATATTGGTTCTAGTCTTTACAGAAGTTTTTTCCATAAAAATCTAATATATTTTATGGCATTTTTATTTCTGAAAAACACGCATATCTGTTATACTTAATAATTAGATCTATTAAACTTCTGGGTCTTCCTCCTTGTGTTGGTTTTGCTCCGATGTACCTGGAACTGGGCACTCGATCAGTCGAATGTATGACGTGGATTAACACCTTTAAATGGTGGTTTTGGGTGCTCTTTCTGGCAGTTCCTGGTAGCTACGTCTCCCTGGTGTTTGCTGACTCATATTTCTCGTTGGGAGAGGGAGCTGACGAAGAAATTACACCTGCTAGATTTTATGGGGGATGCCCTGGGAGATTATAGCCTTAAGGATGCCCAATTTAGGGTAGTCCAACGGCTTGTGGACATTGACTTGCAATATCTATGAGCCAGAGCTAACAAAACTTCCTCCCCTCTGATCTTCAGCCAATTTCATAATTACGGACTGAGGATGGCTTCCTATTTTTACACTCTAACCATTCCCAGTATAGAAGAGCTTTCTCCCTAGCTCGCTTTAATATTCTGCCCTCAGCACTACTGGATGGGCAATTTAAGAGGCTCCCGATTAACGAGTGGCTATGCCCCTGTGATAGAGCTGAGGCTGAAACTGTGGAGCATGTCCTTTTATATTGCCCTATGTATAACGCAGGCAGATCTAAGTTACTGTTTCTCCTTGAAACAGACCCTTCTGGACCCAATGTTAGTAATTTATTCTTATATTGTCTAGGTGATGGCTCCTCATATATCACTTCTTTGGTTTCCAAATTTTTTTAAAGAGCTGTAATCATCAGAGGAGAACGCTGTAATTCCCCTTAGTCAAGTGGTGACCAATTGTTCATGATTAATTTTCCCATGTTCTTCTTTTGTTATACTTGTGTTTTGGTCTGTGACCTCAAATAAAGTAGATCTATTTCTAAAATAAAAGTTAGATATGGTGTTCCATTTTAAAAATAAATTGACTTTTTTTTACAAATATACAGCTCTGCTAGTCATCCTTGTGCTGATATGAATCTCACTAGAGTGATCATTTTGGGAAAGCCGCAACACCATTTCATTTAAGTTGTCCACTTAGTCTATGGAGCAAAGCAAATCATAACTAAAAGATATAATTTTATTATTTGGTGATGGGTATGCTAGGCTTGGTACTTCCTGCATTAACTAAGGTGAACTAGCTGCAATCTTGGACATGGAATTTACTGCCCTATGAGAACTCAGCTGTAGCATATAGGTTAAAGAAGGAAATCCGCTCTAATTGTTCTGGAGTGATATAAATATTTGTGCACACAGGGTCTCCAAAAACTTATCCTGTATGTTGTGAAGAGAGGTGAGTTGGACTTTGAACATTTGCCTACAGAATGTCCAAAGACTGTAAAGGAGCATAAGGAAATTGAAGACCTCCGAGGAAAACTGAAACTCCCTGACAAAACTACCCTAGCTGATAGTCTACTGGAAATGCTGATCTATCATCCATATTTCTGGTCCAAGGAAAAGTAAGTTAATACCAGACATTTTGTAACTGACTAATTTGACTTGATTGTCTGATTATTAGCATAATAGTCATGGGAGAAGGAGTTTTACAAGAAGAGCTAGAATGACAAACTTGAAATTATGCAATGTGTTCATTGCAGATCTGTTAAACTAAAAAAAAAAAGGTCCCCAGCACTGAAGTCCAGGAATTGGCTTATAATTTATTTTATCATTTCAAGGGCTGGACATTGTTGAGAACAGTGCAATTAATATGGAGAAAAAGTTACCATCAGAATTGTCCCATTGTATTTTCCTTGCAAGGATGAGATGGCGCACAAGAATATTATTACTCATTCAATAAAATATTTCATTTAAGCTATGATGATGAGCATGCTACAAACATCAAAGCAAAATTGGCATTAAAAGTCATTAAATGCAGCTAGTTCTCAAAATACTGATACAGAATAGTGATTGTGATATGTCTCTGAAAGATAACTTTAGAATTTAAGGCAATCACCCCATTTCTATCATCAAAGAAGAAGCAAATAGAAATGAATGATAAACATTATAAAACCAATCAAATGCCAGTTTCCCCATTTTGTCAATGTAGAGTTGCCAACTCTAAATTGAAACTAATCCTAGAATTCCAACCTCCCCCCCATAATAAAGAGCCATTGGAAGTTGGATAGCATATAAATTTAACAGTAAGAATGTACAGTAGAATGACTGTGCTAAAAGAAAGCAAAGGTGTACCAATACTAATAGGTGCTTTGGGTGCAAATCCCAAATCATGCCCTTGCAACTCCAATAACCTCATATTTCTTAAAGTCTCCCACTCTTTCATCCATACCAGACATCCAATTTTGGTTGCCAAAATATAACTATATGTTGAGATTCTAGAAAGAGTGCAGAGAAGAGCAGCAAAGATGATTGAGGAACCGGAGGCTAAAACATATGAAGAACAGTTGCAGGAATTGGATATGTGTAGTTTAACGACAAGAAGGAGTGATGAGGTGATGTTTTCTTATATTTATTTATTTTATTTTGTCAAGTGATTATAAGATAACAGGGTATAAGTATAAACATAGTTATAAATACATGAAATGGATACATATAAGAAAAATAAAAAGAAACAATAGGACAGAGGTGGAATGGCACGTTGGTGCGCTGATGCACGCCCTCTACAGACCTCTTAGGAAAGGGGTGAGGTCAACAGTAGACAGTCTAAGATTAAAGTTTTTGGGGTTTGGGGAAGAAACCAGGTAGAGTATTCCAGACACTGACCACTCTGTTGCTGAAGTTGTATTTCCTGCAATCAAGTTTGGTCAGTTTACCTTGAGTTTGTATCTATTGTGTGCTCTTGTATTGTTATGGTTGAAGCTGAAGTATTCATTGACAGGTAGGACATTGCAATATATAATTTTATGTAGTATAGTTAGATCAGACCCAAGGCAGCATAGTTCTAGGTTTTCTAGGTCTAGAATTTCAAGTCTGGTGGCATAAGGTATTCTGCAATGAGTAGAGGAGTGGAGAACTCTTCTTGTGAAATATTTCTGGACTTTCTCAATTGTACTAATATTAGATACGTAATGCGGGTTCCAGAATGATGAGCTGTATTCAAGTATTGGTCTAGCAATGCCTTTTTGGCTATGTAGTTACAGTGGGCTGTAGCACTTAAATCATTAGAGATGAGTACTCCAAGGTCCTTGACAGAGTTTGGATCATCAACAAGGTCTTGACTATTCAGCTTGTATTTTATTTTCTGTTTTTTATGCCAGTATGTAGGACAGAGCATTTATTTGTTGAGATTTGAGGTTGCCATTTGTTTGACCATTCTGATACATAGTCAAGGTATTTTTGAAGGGTAGCAGTATTGGTGGTGTTGAATAGTTTTATAGCATCCGCAAAGAGAACGCAGTTGCTCTTAATATGATCACAGAGGTCATTTATGTAGAGTATGAAGAGAGCTGATCCTAGAACACTACCTTGGGGGACACCACTGTTGACAGGTACAGAATTTGATAGGACGCTCCTAATTTTGATTATTTGTTGTCTGTTTGACAGGAATGCTTCTATCCAGTTATGCAGGTGTCCAGAGATACCATAAGATTTTAGTTTTAGGAATACTTTATCGTGTACCACTGAATCAAAGGCTTTACAGAAGTCTATGTAGATTGCGTCTATTGCTTTTCCCCGATCGAGTTGTGTAGTCCATATGTTTTTGCAGTGTAAGAGTTGCAGATTACAGGATAGTATTTTTCTGAAACCAAATTGTTTGTCAGAGAGTAGGTTGTTTGTTTCTAAGTGGAGGATAATGGATTGGTTAATAATTGATTCCATGACTTTACAGGTGGTGCAGCATAAAGAGATTGGTCTGTAATTTTCCACTAGGCTGGGGGTCTCCCTTTTTGAAGATGGGGATGACCGTGGCTTGTGACCATAGTTTTGGCAAGGAGCTGGTCCTGAAACATTTTTCAAAGATTATGCTTAGAGGTTTGGCTATGGCGGTGGATAGCTTTTTTAAGAAGTAGGCACATATTCCATCCGGTCCAATAGATAGAGATGGTTTTAGATTGCGTAGTGCTTTTTCAACATTGTCTTCTGTAAAATCGATATGTATTAGATCACTGTAGTTGTCTGTGGTTCGACTAGGAAATACTGGGCATGATCCATTGCTGTTTACAAATACTGAGCCAAAGAATGTGTTAAAGAGGTTGGCTTTAATGGTGTCCTCATTGCAATCTTTACCATTAGGTCCTTTCTGGGGTGGGATGGACCTTGAGTCTTTTAGTCTGTTGTTTACAAAACTGTAGAAAGTGCAGGTGGAATTGGTGTGTAGAAGGTTTTCCTCTTGTTTAATGTGATAATTGGTGTATTCAGTCTTTATCCGGTGGCATAAATTTTTGTATTTGCTTTTGAAGTTGGCAATGTGACAGTATTCCAATATTTGAGGGACTGCCATAAAGAAGGGGGGAGGGTTTCAACATATTCTCCAAAGCACCTGAAGGCAGGACAAGAAGCAATGGATTGAGACAAATCAAGGAGAGAACCAATCCAGAACTAAGGGGAAATTTCCTGACAACAATTAATCTGTGGAATGACTTAACTTCAGAAGTTTTGGGTGCTCCATCACTGGAGGTTTTCAAGAATACATTGGACTTTTACTTGTCTGAAATGGTATAGGGTCTTCTGCTTGAACAGTGGGTTGGGCTAGAAAACCTCCAAATGTCACTTCCAACTCAATTATTCCATTTTATTTATTTATTTATTTATTTACTTACTTACTTACTTACTTACTTATTTGATTTGTCAATCGCTTACAAGATAATAAGTAAAAGGATAAACATAGTTAAGAATATATGAAATGAATACATATAAGAAAAATAAAAAGAAACAATAGGACAGGGACGGTAGGCACATTGGTGCGCTTATGCACGCCCCCTACAGACCTCTTAGGAAAGGGGTGAGGTCAATAGTAGACAGTCTAAGGTTAAAGTTTTTGGGGTTTGGGGAAGAAACCACAGAGTCAGGTAGAGTATTCCAGACATTGACCGCTCTGTTGCTGAAGTCGTATTTCCTGCAATCAAGTTTGGTGAGGTTAACCATGAGTTTGTATCTATTGTTTGCTCTTGCGTTGTTATGGTTGAAATGAAGTATTCATTGACCGGAAGGACAATGAATATTCTGATATTCTGAAATGTTTGACAGCTTTCCTTCCCAAAAAACTCCATTGCAAAACAGACCATAGGATTTATGAAGGTAGTGTTTGCTTCAGTCTATCTTCTAGAGTCTATGGGCTTTTCCCATCACTGTGTTATAGTGCTCTCTACTCATCCTCAGATCAAACAGAAAATCATACTGGTATGAAATTAGCTGTGTTGGTGGCCTTGGTTCCTAAGAAATGGGTGACAAAACCAGCAGACCTTATACAACTTGTGGCTGACACTGATTACATGAGTTTTAGGGGGGAAAATAGTAGTAGATCTAAGGATGACTTACGGCTGTCTCACTCACTGGGGACAAGATGAAGATAATATTATGGGGAGCTGGCATACATCCCAATGGAGTATTAGGATGGTATGACCAAAAGCAACACTGAAGGATCTATCAATCTACTGGATAAACAGATGCTCAAATGCCGAAGTATAACTCCTTTGGGCTTTTGTGTGTGTGTGTGTGTGTGTGTGTGTGTGTGTGTGTGTGTGTGTGTGTGTGTGTGTGTATGTGTATCCAACCAAGATAGTTATTTTTGTAACAATGCAGGTATTCTTGGCAGCTCTTTTATGAGAGAAGCCACAATATGTCATCCAAACTTCCTGCAATCACTTCCTAACTTTGAAGTTAATGGGCAAAGTATATCATCCACACCACTTTTCATCCAGTAGTAATGCACTCCATTTCTTAAAATTTCCTTTTTTTTCTACAGAAAGTACAGTGCGTTAAGAGATATCGGGAATGAGATACGTACAGCTCATGCAACAAAAACAAATGGCATTCTGAAGGCTTTGAAATGTGAGCATGATCCTTTCATGGACTGGCAAGAAAAGGTAATCTATTGAACAACAACAACAAAAGTTAGGAACCCTTTTGCATCTTCCACTTTAATGCTGCTATTATATTTATTTCTAAATCCAGTTTTTGCCTTTTTTTGGGGGGGGGGGAGCTGGCTGTGCTAGCTAACAGGTTTCATGTCAGTTTCTGCTAGTGACAAACAGCTAAAGTTTCACATGAGCAGTTTAACATAGGCATGTTTAGTCAACATCCATTCTTGAGAGACAATGTATGCAGAGGTTAAAAGTTGGATGAAGATCAGGAAGACCTGGATTGAACTCCACTTGTATATTAATCTTTAAAATCCTCTGAATCTGTATATTATAACCAAAATTTTACCCCATTATCATATATTCTTTTACTTGTTCTTCTATTTCAGATTTCAGTAAAAGTATATACAGTTTAACATTTTTTTTGTTAGCTGTGAAGTCATGTCTGACCCATCGCGACCCCATGGACAATGTTCCTCCAGGCCTTCCAGTCCTCTACCATCTTCTGGAGTCCATTTAAGCTCATGCCTACTGCTTCAGTACTCCATCCAGCCACTTCATTCTCTGTCGTCCCGTTCTTCTTTTGCCCCCAGTCTTTCCCAGCATTATGTTCTTCTTCAGTGAGTCCTTCTTTCTCATTAGGTGGCCAAAGTATTTGAGTTTCATCTTCAGGCTCTGACTTTCTAAAGAGCAGTCAGGGTTGACTCTAGGACTAACTGGTTTGATTGCCTTGCAGTCCAAGGGACTCACAGCACCATAGATCAAAGGCCTTAATACTTTGGCGCTCAGCCTTTCTTGTGGTCCAACTTTCACATTGCAACTGGGAAAACCATAGCCTTGACTATACACACTTTTGTTGACAGGGTGATGTCTCTGCTTTTTAGTATGCTGTCTAGATTTGCCATAGCTTTCCCCCCCAGGAGCAAGTGTCTTTAATTTCTTGGCTGTAGTCCCCATCTGTGGTGATCTTGGACCCAGGAAAATAAAGCCTATCACTACCTCTATTTCTTCCCCATCTATTTGCCAGGAATTGAGAGGACCGAATGCCATGATCTTAGTTTTCTTAATGTTGAGTTTCAGGCCAACTTTTGCACTCTCCTTCTTCACCCTCATCAAGAGGCTCTTTAGTTCCTCTTCACTTTCTGCCATTAGAGTGGTATCATCTGCATATCTGAGGTTGTTCTTAATTCCAACTTTGATTCATCTAGTCCTGCCTTTCTAATGATGTGCTCAGGGCGACAGTATACAGCCATGCCGGACTCCTTTTCCAATTTTGAACCAATCAGTGGTTCCGTGTCCAGTTGTCACTGTTGCTTCTTGACCCCATATAGCTTTCTCAAGAGACAAATAAGATGGCCTGGTACTCCCATCTCTTTAAGAACTTGCCACAATTGATTGTGATACACAGAATCAAAGGCTTTTGCATAGTCGATGAAGCAGAAGTAGATGCTTTTCTGGAACTCCCTAGCTTTCTCCATGATCCAGCATATGTTGGCAATTTGATCTCTAGTTCCTCTGCCTCTTCAAAATCCTGCCTGTACTTCTGATAGTTCTTGATCCACATACCGCTGGAGCCTAGCTTGTAGGATTTTAAGCATAACTTTACTAGCATGTGAAATGAGTGCAGTGGTGTGATAGTTAAAACATTCTTTGGCATTGCCTTTCTTTGGAATTGGAATGTAAACTGACCTTTTCTAATCCTGTGGCCTCTGTTGAATTAAATTTGCTGGCAAATTGAGTGTAGCACTTTTACTGCATCATCTTTTAAGATTTTGAATAGTTCAATTGGAATACTGTCACCTCCACTAGCTTTGTTGTTGCTCAGATTTCCTAAGACCCATTTCACTTCACATTCTAGGATGTCTGGCTTGAAGTCAGTGATGACCCCATTGTGGTTATCAGGGACTTAAGCTCGTTCTTATATAGTTCTTCTGTGTAATTTTTCCACTTCTTCTTAATCTCTTCTGCCTTTGTTAGGTCCATGCCGTTTTGGTCCTTTATCATGCCCATTTTTGCATGAAACGTTCCTTTCATATCTCAAATTTTCTTGAAGAGATCTCTGGTCCTCCCTATTCTATTGTTTTCTTCTATATCTTTGCACTGTTCATTTAAGAATCTATTCTAGATATTATCTGGAATTCTGCATTCAATTGGGTGTATCTTTCTGTTTCTCCCTTGCCTTTCGCTTCGCTTCTTTCCTCAGCTATTTGCAAACAGCCATTTTGCTTTCTTGCATTTCTTTTTCTTTGGGATGGTTTTAGTTGCTACCTCTTGTGCAATGTTTAGCAATTACATGTTCCTTATTTATACACAATTCTATTTCAGGTGCAGCTCTTTTGTATACTTTAAATTTTCCTAATGACTGTAGATAAGAAAATCATTGGCAAATATATCTCTCTGCAAGATGTTACAGTCCCCTTGACAAAATTCTAGTATCTCAAAATATATTTGCCATTTTGTTTGCCTATTAATTTTCACCTATAAAATGCTTCTTGTACTGAGACTCATGAAGGGTTTCTTGGAAGGCACAAATTGGGTTTTATCTATTTCACATGCTTAATATGGCAGTCTAACAAAACAATTTTTAAAATCCACCTTAATCTTGACTTTTTCATTCCACAAACGTTCATGCCACCTACATCTGTAGCATGTCAAGTACTTTAGACACCAAGAGCCTTCTATTTTTTAGCAGCACTGACTCTTTCATCCACACTAAATAGCAAGCTGAAAAATACAATTCTGAATCAGGTAGACCCATTCCTCCTCTTTCTTTTGCATCTTATAGTATCTTATATTTAATTCATATGTTTCCCCTGCCACGCAAATTTAAATATATATTTTGCCACTTTTTAATTATGCATCAGTCATCAAAACAGATACTATGTAAGGAAAAAACATAATCCTAGGCAAAACATTTATTTTTATCATAGAAATTCTCCCCAGCAATAAAAATGACAGTTTCTCCCATCTTAACATGTCTTTTTAACTTCATTCCATGCCTTGACATGGTTATTTTGAAATAACATACAATTTGTATTTGTCATAGTGATACCCAAATATTTTACTTTCTTCTCATTTTACTTGATCTTTTATTTTCATGTTAATTGTTAAAACTTTGTATTTTATTTATTGAACTCAAAACCTGCTAGTGCATTAAATAAACAGTCCCCAATCGTTGTGGTTTGACAGACTGGCTGCAGGGCAAGGGAACTGCCCCACCATCTGAGTGGCAGGCCAGTGTACATGCATGTGTGCGCTAGCTCACTGCTCGCATGAGTGTAGTTGTGCTCTCATGAGTGTAGTTGTGCGCATATGTGTCAGCCAACCTATGCATGCATGCCAGCCCACTGCTCGTGTGGCCCAGTTCTGAATAGGCCACAACCCGGTAGTGGCCTACTGCTTGAGGCTGGGGAACCCCTACACTAAATATTTTAGTTTTCCCATTAATTTCTTGAAGATCTTCTCAAACCAACAGCAAATCAGCTGCAAAAGACCTACATTGATGAACTTCTTTTTAAATCTTTACTCCTGTAATCCTCTCATCCTGGCTGTTGAGGTAATTCCCCATTAGGGGAATGAGCGCATACAGGGAGACGTATTGAGAGTAGTGTTTGAATAATACACACACAGTACACAGATACACTGTAAAATGTAGGTTTTACTTTCAGAAAGGTTTAAGCAAAGTTCAAAACAAGCAGTCCAAAGTCATTCACAGGTAAATCAGTCAGTTTTCAATCCAGGGATAATCCAATAACAAAGTCCAATTTCGAAAACAGTTCAGTATCAGACTTACATCAAATCCAGGAATAGCATTCAATTAGAAGAAACGACAATACTCTCCAGCAGAAGGAAAAACAGAGACCAAGACACACTCTCTTCTGAAACTAAGACTAAGACAACCCAGGTTTCTGGCTCCATCTTATGGCCGTTTGAGAAACCACACCTAATTACAGTTTTGCATTTTCTTAAAGATACAGTTTTAAAATGTTTATCCTGGTTTATATGTTTCTAACCCAAATACCTGTTAGGTGACTTATATTGCTAACACTGTCTTATACTTGTATTCAATATTTCAAGAACCAAAATAAACAAGAAAGGAGACAGTGGACATCCTTGTCTTGTTCCTTTTTGTAGTTCACAAGACTTGCTAGAACTTCATTAACAATTATTTGTGGTTTCTATGAAGTATAAATCAATCTCATCTATTTCATAAAATCTCCCCAAAGTTCATATCTTCCAAAACTTTGAACAAAGAAGCCCTGTTCAAATTGTCAAAAGCTTCCTCTGCTTTAAAGAAAATCAATACATATTGTTTTTCATTATGTTGCTCCAAATATTTCAGAATATTCAACATATTTCTAATATTATCCTTTAACTGTCTTTTAGGCTAAAAATTCTTATTGATCCTCATGAATAAATTCTTGCAGAATTATTTTAGTCTATCAACTGGAATTGTAAACAACTTGTAATCATTATTCAATGAAGATATTGGCCTATAACTTCTTGTTAAAGTCAAACAAAATTCCTTCTCTCCCAGTTGCACTAGTGCCACATTATCTAGTTTTCTTTTCAGCTTTCTTCCTATAATTTCTGTTTTACTATCCAAAATTTCTACTTTGTTATTAATTTGTTTTACATCACTTGTGTTATACAGATTTTCATCTTCTAAACTTCTTTCTCCTTTTCATCGTTACAACTCTTTGATCCATTATTCTTTCAAAAGCTGTACTGTAATCCAAATATGAAAGTATCTCAATTGCAAGGAAAAGAGTGACTGACCTTTTTTCCCTATTGGTGCCCTTAAAATTTTTATCTCAAATGACACTTTATAGTTACAATCAGCTTCACAGTCAGTCTCATATTATTTTATTTATTTTTTGTTTTGTAAACTTCATGATTTGTCTGTACTCTTTAATAGTAAAAAAAACATATTCCCATCCAGTTCATTTGTCTATTTTAATTCCAAGTTTTTGAAAAACACTATCTCTCTCTCTCTCTCACACACACACACACACCCTTCTACACAACCATCCCATTTACCTGTTTTAAACTTTTGTATATTCCCTCCTTGTTAAGTGTTTTGTCAAACTGAGGAAATCTTTCTTTAGCTGTAAATTAATTTTACCAGAAACTGTTTCTGAAAATGAGGCTTGTGCCAAGTTTGTGTGCATATAGGCTTCATTATGTAATATATGTGAGCTGGGTTGAAATCCCTTGATTCCCAACTGCATAACTCATGAGTCAACAGCAAAAAAAGTACGTTTCTGCAGCCACCTCACAAGTTCTCACAATCTCTCCTTTATCCTGAAAGACTTTGCCTGCTATGATTCACTGTCTGGCTTTCGATCTCTGATGCAGTGTTCTTCAGGGATGTCTAGTCTGCCATAAATCCTCACCCAGAAACCAACATTGTTATATCCACTGAGTTGCAAAGAGTGAGTTTTATGGACCAATAACTGACCAGAATCTTACCTTCTTTTTCAGATTGATAAAAAAGTATTGGACTCTATGGTTTATCCGGGCAAAGAGAAAGGCAACAAGAGGGTCCCAAGAAAATATGGCCGGGAAGTAATAGATTTATTAAAGTTAATTAGGAATATGGCTGAGCACTACAATGAAAAGGACAATGAGTAAGTAAATATTTCTCTAAATTATGTATCTCTGAAGCGATCTACTGTACATTGGATTTGTTGGCTGGCAACCTTTGCTTCTCCCTTTTCTATTGTAGTAACCAGAATACAAACCTGGAAGAAAGATAAGTCACAAACATATCTTCATTGATCATGTCCAACTGCAGAGAAATCTGTCACTTTGCATGCAAAAGAGAGGGGGAAATTCAGAAGAATGGCAATTCTTCCTCTATCCTGGACTCAGAATTGCTCTTGGAGCCAACAGCAACTATTACTAAGATCAGAGAGGTGGTAGTAGTGACAGATGGGCTGTGGGAACAAAAGACAATTTTGATTTTGAAAATTTCATGTGTATGTTTGTACAAGCTTAAAACTACTCTGACTTGGGTCAAAGGAAATAGAGACTGTAAGGCTATATCTTCCTTGGCCTGTTGCCTTCTTACCCTTTTGGTGCCATCAATCCACGGGTAGGATTCAATTTTTTTAACAACTAGTTATGTGGGTGTGGCTTAGTTAGTGGGCGTGACTTGGTGGTTATGTGACTGGTGAACATGGCTTGGTGGTCATGTTATTGGCTGGGCGTGGACAACTCAATATCACACACATCGAGGCACACATCTCCTTGCCTGGTCTCTCATGACTGTGGGGATGCTGCAACAGTCATAAGTATGAAAAATGGTCATAAGTCACTTTTTTCAGTGCCATTGTAACTTTGAATGGTCACTCCACACAAGCAAAGTACCAGCAAAGGAAGGGAAAAAACCTCCAGAGAAGTTCCAGAGTCAGGAAGTCTAGTCTTGCCAAGAATGTAATAAGAGTTAATGGAGAAGCAGTTTCTGTAAGCAACACCAGAATGTTTCCTTCCTGCCTTCCTTACAGGATTAGGCCAGTAATTTCTTCTAACAACTGGTTCTCCGAACTGCTTAGAATGTTAACAACCAGTTCTAGCGAATAGGTGCAAACTGGTAGAACCCCACTCCTTCATCAATCTGTCTGTCGAGGCTTAATTTAGAGTTTGCAAGACAGATCAAAGTACAAGAAAATAAGGGTGATGCCAGAGTACCAATAGATCTTGAAAAGCTTGATTAAGAAATTGCTCCTTTGCATACAGCATCAGAAGAGTTTGACTCCAAACACCTGGATGAGCTCAAATGACAGGGAAGTTTTTCAGAACTCAATTTACCAGGAAACTGGGGGAAAGGGGTAATTCTTAGAACCCCTTTCTGCCAGTTCTCAATACCTTGGAATCATTATATTTGTTCTGAGTTGATTATCAAGGGAAAATGTATGTTTGCGTTTATACCCAACCAAGAGGAAGAAATTACAAATGAGTAAGAAAGCACACAATGGGAATAGACATTGAAAAGAATGGGTGTGGGTTGTTTGGTTAGGGTTGTTTGGTTAGGGTGTTCCCTGCGCCTAGGAAACTGATCAAAGCCTTGCCAATTTGAAAATAGGAAGCCTGCAGAGGATATTAATTAACTAATCAAGGTCACAGAGCTGAGTGTATTAATCTGTAAGGTTGGCACCTTTTAAGAAAGTGCTGAGCTGGGAAGAAAAGAGTTTGGGAAGAGATAGTTCATTTAAGCAATCTCTCCCCGCTGCAAGGGGGGAATTCTAAAAGTTGGAAAGAAAATAAATGCAAAAATAGGGTCAAGTAGCCAGGTACAGGACAGCTTTGTGTGGGATATGCCTTCCCGGCAGAGATTCCATCTTTTGGCCAGCACTCTGCAGGGACAGGCTAAAGTTTGAAACTGCTCCAGTGAGAAGGTCCTTTTCTATTACAAAATTCAGTGCAACCTGCTAGAGTTCAGGGGTGTCAAACTCATGATGTCACATTGTCATCATGTGACATATCATGACTTTTCCCCCCTTTGCTAAATGGGTGGGCGTGGCCAGCGTGTGACGCATCTGGCCTGTGGGCCACGAGTTTGGCACCCCTGAATTCTAGCAGCTAGATGGACCTTCTGATTTATGGGGGTGGGGAGCATGAGAGAGACCAGTGATTTGCCAGGCTCCAATTGGATCATTCAATGGCTGCACCTCCCATCCATCCTCAAAAGTTCCTGTTCCTATTGGTAACCATTGCTACCTGTACCTACCGAACGATGTCTGCGTGGCTAAGTTTTTCTCCTCTCCAACAGCCATGGATTTTTGCTGTAGAATATAAGAGAGAAGAACCTGTAAGTTATATAAGAGAAAAGAACTTTTTTTCCCCACTCGATAAGAAATCTCCATGCATGCTGGAGAGGAAAGAAAGCAAAGCAGAATCTTTTCCCTTTCCTGCACCTGATCTTATCTCCAGTTTTCCCCATAGCAACACAGCAAAGTTTTCTGGGGTGTTTGGCAGGCTGGGAAAAGCAGTAGTGGGGAGGGGGTTGTAATTTTTGAAACAGTGTGTCTTTGTCACATGCTGGCCTTCTGGAGGACGGGAGGAAAATGTTTCTGCGAGGTGGTGAGGAGAAAGCCCAAGCAAATGTAGATTGAAAACTGGAAGACAAACAGATCAGAAAAGCAGAAACTTGAGAAAAAGGTGCATGTTAAAAGAACATGTCTAAGAAAAGATGGACCTTAAACACTCAATTAATAAGAGAGAAGGAATACATTAATAAATTAAAGGAGGAATTGACTTTTTTTATTAAAGAAAATGATAATGGAGAAACCACGAAACAAAATGTCTGGGATACGATGAAGGCGGTTATAAGAGGCACAACAATCTCTTATAATGCTAAGAGAAACAAGGAAAAATATTCCCAACAAAACAAATTACAACAGAGAATTAAGGAGCTAGAAACCCTTCTACAAAATAACCCAAAAGAATCCAAACTGCAAAATCAGATAAGTATAGTTAAACACAAACTGAATTTAATTGATCAAGAGAAATTGTATGAATTTGAACTTAACCAGACAAATCTATTTTGAACATGCCAACAAGCCAGGAAGATGGCTATCTTATAAATTGAAAAAAAAGAAAGAGAAGAGATTGATATACCAGTTAATAGATAGCAAAGGAGATACATACCAGGAAATAGAACAGAAAAAAGAAATCATTCATAAATACTTTGAAGATTTATACAAAAGAGAGGATGTCAGTGAAGATAGAATAAGGAATTATCTAGATGAAGTAAAGGATAAGGCAATTGGGGAAGAAATGGCTGAACTATTAAATAAAGACATTACTGAATCGGAATTGAAATCAGCAATAGAGAGCCAGAAAAATAATAAAACCCCGGGCCCAGACGGGATCCCAGGGGAGCTGTACAAGGCAATAGCAGATCAAATCGGACCACTTATGGTGGAAGTTTTTAATGACGTTTTACTAGCAGCCAGGATGCCGGACTCATGGAGGGGGGCACTGATCTCGCTGATCCCGAAGGAGGATACAGATCCCAGATATATAAACAGTTACAGGCCGATTTCACTCTTAAATACTGATTATAAAATATTCACTTCTATTATAGCAAACAGATTAAAAAGATTGCTAAACTTGTATATACATGAAGATCAAAATGGATTCCTTCCAACTAGGCAAATAAAGAATAATCTAAGAATAGTATTAGACGTACTAGAATTTTATGAAGCCCACCCAGAGAGACAAGTAGCACTCATGTTTCTAGATGCAGAAAAAGCTTTCGATAATTTGAATTGGCAATTTTTAATTCAAAAAATTTATAATTTGAATCTGGATACCAAATTTGAAAATATTATAACAACTATATATGATACACAACAAGCTAATATAATAGTGAATGGGGAATGCACCCGCCCAATAAAGATAGAAAAAGGAGTGAGACAGGGTTGCCCACTCTCTCCCCTGCTCTTCATATTAGCATTAGAGACATTATTAACACGAATTAGGCGGAATTCAGATATAAAGGGATTAACAGTTAAGAAAGAGGAATATAAATTGCAAGCGTTTGCGGACGACATGATTTTCTTCCTTGAAGAACCAAAAGACAGGGGACCAAAATTGATGAGTGAATTAGAGAAATTTGGAGCAGTAGCGGGACTTAAAATAAACAAAAAAAAACCAAATTAATGACCAAAAACCTAACAGAAAAACAGAAAATAGAACTAGAAGAAATAATGCAGATACAAGTGACAAAGAAAGTGAAATACTTAGGAATTTGGCTAACCCCACACTGTAAGACACTTAAAGAAAACAATTATGATAAAGGTAAAGAAAGATTTAGAATCGTGGGGGAAACTTCAAATTTCACTACTAGGCCGAATTGCTACTATTAAAATGAACATTCTCCCTAAATTTTTGTATTTATTCCAAACGATCCCAATTAAATTACATAAAAAGTTTTTTGAAGAACTCAATAGAACAACCCTGAAATTTATTTGGCAAGGGAAAAAACCCAGAATAAATGTAAAAGCAATGCAGGATATGAAGAGCAGGGGAGGGTTAGCATTTCCAAACTGGGAGTTATACCATATGGCCACCTCATTAGTTTGGTTGAAGGATTGGGTGAATTTAACCAATAAAAGAATACTATTTCTAGAAGGCCATGATTTACAAAGGGGGTGGCACGCCTTTCTATGGGATGTAGGGAAAACCAGTCAAAAATATTTCCATAGACATTTAATTAGAGACGCACTATTAACAATTTGGAGGAAAATAAGGAAAAAACATTATACAAAAGTACCAGTATGGATTTCAACAATGGAGGCAATGATTCACCCAAACAATTTGGAGCTTACCAAAATGATTAAATACAAAGACTTATTAGACCCACAAGGAAATTTGAAACCGAGGCTGGATCTTCAAGAGCAAGGACATAAAATTGATCAATGGGTTTATCTTCAGATTCAAAGCAGATATAAACAAGACAAAAAAGAATTCGGAATTAATAACAAACTGCAATAGTTAGATAAAATTTTATTAGGATCAAATAAAAAAAACATAACAAAATTTTATAACTACTTATTAGAAACAGAACTAGAAGAAGAAATCGTAAAAGGAAATATGATTGCTTGGAGTAAGAACGTAGGGCGCAGCATCACATTAGCGGAATGGGAGAAAGTTTGGGGCAGAAACAATAAGATTACCAAATCGGCAGCATACAAGGAAAATCTTTATAAAATGTTTTATAGATGGCATCTCCCCCCTTCGAGGTTAGCGAAGATGCACCCCAACATGAGTCCGCATTGCTGGAAGTGTAGGAAAAAAGAAGGAACCTTTTTCCATATGTGGTGGTCTTGTGCAGAAACCCAAAAGTATTGGAAGAAAATCAAAACTTGGTTGGAAGAAATCACCAAAGAGCAGATCGAATACAAACCAGAGTCCTTCCTACTAGGGATTTTTGATAAGCAAATTTCCAAAAAAACCAAATACATAACAATACACATTTTAACAGCAGCCAGATTAGCCTTCGCTCAACACTGGAAACAACATCAAATTCCATCAGAAGAAATGATTATTGAAAAAATCTCAAAATGCGCAGAAATGGATAAATTGACTTTGGCGCTAAAAAACAAAGACACTTCACTATACTATGATAGCTGGAATTGTTGGTATAATTGGATTGACCAAAGTTAAATAATATATTATAAGGCATAAAAGAAAAGTATCAATACATAATAACGAGGTAACAATATAAGTTAAAAACAGGTGTGGTTATATGACACAAGTTAAGGTGATGAAAACAAAAGAAGATCTTGCAAACTGTTAAAATAAGAATACTTTTAATCCTGTAACCTCTTTCTTTCTTTCTTTTCTTAAAATTCTTTCCCTCTCTTCCTCTTCTCTCTTCTTTCTTTTCTTTCTTTCTTTCTTTTGCTTATTTGTGTATGTATTGTGACTGGTTTTAATTGTAAAAATTAATAAACTATATTTAAAAAAAAAGAAAACTGGAAGACAAACAGATCAGAAAAGCAGAAACTTGAGAAAAAGGTGCATGTTAAAAGAACATGTCTAAGAAAAAATGTCCCAGTATCGAAGGATCAAAGGAGTTGTACGCTATTGGCTACAGTAAACTTGAGAGCAGTGTATTTAAAGCAAATTAAGAGTAGCAAAGTAGTGGTTTGAGTTTATTGCTGGGTGAATTATCAATGGGGCCTCTTATGAACAAAAAGAAATTTATCAAGCCAACTCCTAATAAATGCTTGGATTTTAATAACCATGCAGTCTTTCACAGCATGCATCGTTCACATAGTTCACAGATGCAAAAACACATGTTTTCCTGGCTGATAATTGCATTACAACTTAACAAGTTGACATTCATGTTTTAGCTATGCTTCACCATCTTTAACCCAGGACAAACTACTGCTTGCATGTTGTTTATATTAAAAACTGTATTTTCCTTCATTTCAGGGTGAAAAAAATAATTCAGGATCCTGCAGACTATTTTCTGAACCTTTTTCCAGATTTAACCCTTCATATCTATCAGCTTTTGTATGACTCGGAGTACAGCAAATATTTTCCAAATGCAAAGAATTCTTCACACCCGTAACATGGGTCAGTGGACATTGGTTGTTTAATGACATAATTGTATGTGACTTACATATAGAGAATAGAATTTTTTATTGGCCAAGTGTGATTGGACACACAAGGAATTTGTCTTGGTGCAAATACTCTCAGTGTGCATAAAAGAAAAGACACATTCGTCGAGAGTCAAGAATCATAAAGTACAACCCTTAATAATAGTCATAGGGTACAATAAGCAATCTTATCATACTAGGAAACAGTCAATATAACAGTCAGTATATTTTCTAACTAAAACCAATCAATAGTTTAATCAGCACTTAATACTATATGTCATCCTGGAAAATCTTCTTTAGACCTTCTCTTACTCATTGACAATCTAGTCTAGTCAAACTACAACTGCTAATTAAGGTACCCCCAGAGAAATCAAATAATGCAGAATGTACAGTTGTCAAATTTGCAACCGTGTTCCCACAGCATTGGACAAAGCATGGTGGAGTTGCATATCTGCTTCCTTTCCAACCTAATATGTTGTATTTGTTAATGGAACTGCAGATATAGGAGTTTATATCTCAAAGTCAGTTTCTGTCCAAAAGAAGCCCCTTATCCTTTTTAGTGAGTGGAGAACCTCTGCTTTCAAGCACTTTTATTGTAACCCCACAGGGGCAGAATACAAGGCTCTGCCCGCTTGGCAAGGTTGAAGAAGCAACTTACATAGTTATGCAACACATTTGGTCAGTTAATGAGATCCTACAGACATAGCTCCCCTTCCTTGAAACCCAGAATCCCCTTTGTCTTATCCAATAGTATCAAATGAAGCCACAGCAGCCAGAATTCTCACAACTACTCCTTGAGGTTTCACTTTGCTTTTATTGAGCTGCATGAGCTATTCCTATCGCTCTGCTTTGCAAGCAGAGGTCAGTGCTTTTTAGCAAGCTGAAATCATTTTTTACTAGCTAAGCTATTTCTTCGGTCAGGTTTTAAGTGTACGTGGGCTTAAAGATAATAAAGCGGTACATAAAAATTATTATTTTTGTCACTGAAATTCTGAGTGTGCTCTGCAGGCTGCAAAATAAATAAATGGGAGGCCAGTGACCATCATTGCCTACCTAAGAGCTGTATGATGAGTGAGTCCAGTCCCTCGCTGTAATAGTACGTGGAAATGATCTTAGGAGTCAGGAGGAAAAGCCATAGAGTGGACAACTGGCTTGTAAAAGAGATCTCAGCCCACAGAAGGATGGAGGGCACAGGAAACATTTCAGTAGGAACCCTCCCTAGTACTCTGGTGTGTAAAAGGAAAGGAGGGGAGAAATTGCAAGATAACTTTGCAATAAAGATAGAGCTAATACTCCTAGTTGTGCTCCTTGGTTGGATTACCATGAACAACCAACACTGTCCATGCAAAAAGTTCCATATTATATTCAGCAGAGATTTCCAAATGTTCTTGGTCTTCAGTGCCTTCAACCCAATATTTTTTTACACTGATCCTAGGCTTGTAGTTTGTGTGGTATCTGGCAGTTGTCAAGTATCACTGGAGTATCGTGTGATGTTCCTGTGAGTTCATTGCAGCACCCTGCATTGGTGCTGCAACTGCTGAGTTTGGGAACTTTGAAACTATATTACAAATGACCGCGTGGATAATTATTACTCTCTGCACCTAGTGCATTAAATTTCACTTTGATTGCCTACATCTCTATGGATATGCATTTATTCCTAATTGGTGATGTTATGCCATATAAGTGGTATGATAAACTGAAAGCCTATGCTGCAATAAACTTATTGGTATGTAAAATGTCTCAAAACTGTATTTTTGTTTCATCACTTACATGAACAGATGAAAATACCCAGCCAATGTTTATCAAGAGAAATTATAGCATGTTGAAAAGAAGAAAATTCCTTTTAATTTATTTTTGCAACTTATCCAAAATTGGCGTAAATATCACATTCAGGAAGTACTGCACTGCAGAAAGTCAACAGTCTCTAGGACAATTCTTTAAAGTTTTCTAATACAGCCTAACAACACAACAAAATCAAAATAGGGCAGCTTAAAACCTTGACTTTTTTTTTACACAAATTGAAAGATTTACACTTCAATAACATATAAGGTCTCATTTTAAAAACTGAAATATGCGCGTGTGTCTGAATTTTCTCCTTAAAAGATAATCTCATTGTTTCCTTGAAAGTTGATTTTCTCTTACGAATATGTTTTTAAGTTACAAATCTCTCCACTGTATAATGTGAATTAATGACTTTGAATATTTTCATCCCAGCTGGAACAGGATTAGGCAAAGCCCAGCATTTGACTACTTTTGAGTTCTGGCAATGGCATCCCCTTGCTGTTGACTCCAAGTTGCTGACGTCAGGATAGACCTGCATATTTTAAAAATATTTTATATTTTAAAATCTTAAATTGATCAACGCCATTAATTTTTCAAGAGTGGCATTATAAGGTTAGAAGGACTACCATATAAATTGTTTGCATTTAGCATTTCAGCTAGGATCAAACCACCTCTGGCTCCTTCACCATTTTTGAGCTATAAATATGTTCAGCAGCCCCAAAAAGAGACAGCGCTGGCCAATTTACTATGCCATTGAGGCAGTGATTCAATGAAATCAGGGTCTCACTATGGCACAAAAATATTTGGCCAACCCCTCAAGAGCATGAAGCAAGGAGAGTTAACAGACCTTGTAAAGAAAGAGAAAGCATCAACCCAAAACTGGAACTATTTCCGTTTGTTCATGAGCTTTTGCAATGTGTCCAGCTTTTTTCTTTTCAGTCTTGATATGAATTGAAGACTGTACTTTTTAAAATCTTCAGCTCACTAGATCCTAGCTGCATTGTATTCAAAATCAAGCCATGACATTTGGTTCCCTGAATCTTAAGTGAGACCTGAACCCAAACCATTTCTTGGATGTTATTAATTAACTTTGGAAAGTTATTGAACATTCGATACACAGAGATCTGGAAATGATGGCTGAGGTGGCCCATTCCATCTACTTCCATAACATGCCAGACTCTCAAGACTTTTCTCTGGACTTTCAGCTGATTTGTATCTTCCTAATAAACTTGAAAGGGACGCGGTGGCTCAAGTGGCTGAGACACTGAGCTTGTCGATCAGAAAGGTTGGCAGTTCAGCAGTTCGAATCCCTAGCACCGTGTAATGGAGTGGGCTCCCTTTACTTGTCCCAGCTTCTGCCAACCTAGCTGTTTGAAAGCATGTAAAAATGCAAGTAGAAAAATAGGGACCACTTTGGTGGGAAGATAACAGTTCCATGCACCTTTGGTGTTTAGTCATGCTGGCCACATGACCATGGAGATGTCTTTGGGCAGCGCTGGCTCTTTGGCTTTGTAATGGAGATGAGCACTGCCCTCTAGAGCCAGAAATAACTAGCACGTATGAGCGAGGGGAACTTTTCCCTTTCCCTAATAAACTCAGGTCAATGTACCAAACTAATCTGATATAGCAAAGTGATCTTTATCAGTGTGGTAGCAATGAAAAAGTGTTGTGCCCTACACATTTCTGTACAAGTTCCTCTTTGTGATCCCCATTGATGGATCACGACAAACTACTCCTAAAACTAAAATATTATGGTATCTCTGGACAACTGCATAACTGGATAGAAGCATTCCTGTCAAACAGACAACAAATAGTCAAAATTGGGAGTGTCCTATCAAACTCTGTACCTGTCAACAGGATCAACTCTCTTCATACTCTACATAAATGACCTCTGTGATCATATTAAGAGCAACTGCGTCCTCTTCGCTGATGATGTAAAGCTATTCAACACCACAGACAATACTGCTACCCTTCAAAAAGACCTCGTCTATGTATCAGAATGGTCAAACAAATGGCAACTTCAAATCTCAACAAATAAATGCTCTGTCCTACATATTGGCAAAAAAAATCAGAAAATAAAATACAAGCTGAATAGTCAAGACCTTGTTGATGATCCAAACTCTGTCAAGGACCTTGGAGTACTCATCTCTAATGATCTAAGTGCTAGAGCCCACTGTAATTACATAGCCAAAAAGGCATTAAGAGTTGTTAACTTAATCTTACATAGCTTTTTCTCTGGTAATATTACACTGCTAACTAGAGCATCCAAAACATTTGCTAGACCAATACTTGAATACAGCTCATCAGTCTGGAACCCATATTATGTATCTGATATTAATACAATTGAGAAAGTCTAGAAATATTTCACAAGAAGAGTTCTACACTCCTCTACTCGTTGCAGAATACCTTATGCCACCAGACTTGAAATTCTAGACCTAGAAAATCTAGAACTATGCCGCCTTCGGTCCAATCTAAGTATAGTATATAAAATCATACATTGCAATGTCCTTCCTGTCAATGAATGCTTCAGCTTCAACCATAACAATACAAGAGCAAGCAATAGATACAAACTCAAGGTTAATCACACCAAACTTGATTGCAGGAAATACAACTTCAGCAACAGAATGGTCAATGTCTGGAATACTCTACCTGACTTTGTGGTTTCTTCCCCAAACCCCAAAAACCTTAACCTTAGACTGTCTACTATTGACCTCACCCCTTTCCTAAGAGGTCTGTAGGGGACGTGCATAAGCGCACCAAAGTGCCTACCGTCCCTGTCCTATTGTTTCTTTTATTTTTCTTATATGTATCCATGTATTCATAACTATGTTTTTACTTATACCTATTATCTTGTAAGCAACTGACAAACCAAATAAATAAATAAATAAACTTTAATCATATCAGTGCTGAGTAATGTTCACATGTGACTTAACAATGAAAAGATTTTTTTTCTTCATTGTAGTACATGGTAAAGGACGTGATATGACAGCTTTCCATCATGAAAGCTGTCCAACCCACCTCACAGGGTTGTGGTTGTTCTTGTGGGGAAAGTAGGAGAAGGAAGGAATATTATGTATATTTGCTTATAAAGTTACTTATAAAGTAAGAAAGGTGAGATAAAAATACAATAAATAAATCTTTCTACTTCCAAATTTAACAATTTATTGAAGTACATATATCAAAATGATAAATGTTTTCATGTTCAGAACCCATTTTATTCAATTCAATGAATATAAGTGACAATAAAACTTCTACTTTTGATTCATTGTAGCAATGTGTTAAAATGCTATTCGATTTTATTTAAAACACACCAGATAAAATAAATAAAATGCACCAGATGTAAAGAGAAATACAAAAAGAGAATTGTTTAATATCTATGTTAAAAGAATGTGTGGCTTGCAAGCCTTCCTTGCTTGATGTGAAGCTCTTTGACCTACGAATGGACGCCAAGCAATGTTTTGTAGATGCAGCTGCAGAAAAAGAGAACACATTTCATTATGCTCTGTACCTGCTTCACATAAAATCCCTTTACAAATGAAAGAGAAACTTGAAGGAAAACTATTCCTTGTTTTTATCAAATTTCTTGATATATAAATATATATCTAAATATATCTATATCTATATCTATCTATCTATCTATCTATCTATCTATCTATCTATCTATCTATCTATCTATAGGGGGAGTTTATAAGTGCACCAATGGGCCTACCGTCCCTGTCCTATTGTTTCTTTTTATTCATAACCATTTCATGTATTCATAACCATGCTTATAC